GGTCGGGGCGAATGTAGGCTTTCCTTACACGGATACATCCGCAATATCACGAGTATTTTATCCTGTCCCATCTGGATGACCATGCCACCCGTCGTGTACTCTATTCAGGCGTTTCGCTGTCTGCACCACCAGACGTGCTCTGGACTGACTTGTCCTGCCTGTTCGACACACGATCGCCGAGTCATGTCCCTCACTCTTCGCCCAACATGAACCTTCTGCCCAACACATCGATGCTTCACTCTCATCCTCCGGTTCGCATTTTTTCTTCCACTACTTCCACACCTGATGTTATGTGTCCAGACTTGGGTACTACAACAAAGCCACCCGCGCAAGTTGACCACACACTTGGCGTCACACAAGCGGCTTATTCAAGTCCCGATAATGAAGTTGATAATAACGAAAAACCGCCAAGAGAGACGAAAGGGAACACAGCTCGGAACTTACCTGATAACGTGAAGCAAGTGCATGAAGAGCCTACCAACTACACATGTCATGTTGGTGATATGGACGAGCGGAACCCAGAGCCTCAAACTGAAGACGACGAAAACAGTCAAGCTGTAGACAGCAAGCAACAACAAAAGTGGCGGTGGACGCAAACATCAGTGCACAGATGAAGATGGAAAACGTATATACCACGAACCTGGACACAGTGGTCAACAGAGCATACGTTGCTCTGTTGGTTGCTCCCTATGGAGACTCCCTATGGAGTCTCTAGTGAACAGAGCAACTCACTAATGTAAGCCAAATTCAAAGTCACAAGGAGAAAAATACAAGTAAATCTTGACTCACAGTTCAAAATGAGATTCCGTAGTTCCGTATTCCGTTGAACCACCATAACAAGAATAATTCCATCTTCCTGGTATTCCAGATCTCCGGTGATCGAAATATTATTCCACAAATGTGAATATATTAGTCCAGTGTTTGTAGCTAAAGTGTTTGTTCACGTTTAGTGTTAGCAGCGGTCAAATATAGCCAACCGGCGGTCACAACAACAGTCACTCAGCAAAAGTCTCAAAGTCACGTTGGAGCCAACAAGCGGGCGATAGCGGTTGTATTTCAGTAAAACAAACTTTTGTACGGCGATGTGACTGATAATGATGGGAAAAAGAAGATGATACTGAGCATGAAAAAGAGCAGTTTACAAGTGCTGCAAGATGGTGAGCTTTGAAACTATTAGTATTCTGAAGTTGGGGGTTTAGGGTCTTGGGGATCCAGTAAGACTGCACTCGCACGAACTTACTGGTTTCCCGTGCATCCAGGTAAGTACATGTTCAAACATAAATAATCGAGAGTTTCCTTATGATTGCGACATTTGACGGCAACGTTGTGCCTATTTAGCTTGAAACCGTTAAAGCTTGGTGCGATCTAACTCGAGCAAGAGGTAGAAATTTGTGAAGAACAAAGACGGTATCAGACCATTTTCCCGGTGTCTCTAGCATTGCGTGCTCAGTTTTTAAGTTGTCTTTTCCCCGCCGAATGCCACATTTTCACATGGATTTTTCGCTTTTCAATTTCCGTCACTCTTTTTGATGTATAAATGGAATAATTATAGAAGGTTGCTCAAGTCGTATTATTGATGGACTGGAAATCTACAGACCAGAGGTGATAGAATGGAAAGGCTTCCGGTCATCTCTTAATCCTGTACGGTAGAGTTTTGGATGTGTTAGCGTACTGTTCAGTAACTCTGGCTGACCCTATTTTTGCCGAAAACGCATTGTAGGCGGGAAGCCTTCAGCAGCCAAATTTCTCCGTCTAAAGAGTGCAAGATTTGAACCGAAGAGGGACAATGAACAAAGCAGAATGAGAGAAAATACGGGCGCGCAAATCCGATCTGTTCACCACAAGTGGTCACTTAAAGAAGGTTGTAAATGGCTGGGAAGAAAAATATAAACGGCGCGAAGCCGAGTTGCTCCGCTAATGCTACTAGCACAGATGTCGACCTGTAGAAATGAAATCTGCGGATCAACCACAAACAAAGGACGAAATCGGTAATACCTCAACACCCAAACTGTCTTCTCAATAAATTCGGATCACATGAGGTGAGGTGAAGCCCCAGGAACGGTTAAGTTTAAGTAGAAAGAAGAGGTAACGGACAGTATGGTACGTGGTAAGTTGTGCAGAGTAATTAAAATATGGCGGTTTTAGCGCGGAACAATGCTGCATTGATTGACTGTTGATCTAGTCCCTTCAGCTCAAATACAGCTTCGGGCTCTGTATGTTTTGTCCTGGCAATACAGCCCTGTCCCCAGTTCTCTGTCTTCTCCCTATCGCGTAGTCTGGCAGGCTCAGTGCAGGCGTAATCAATAGACGGCCACCCACGATACAACGCTTACCCAACCCATGTAGTTATTACTTCGGGTGACCCTCTACTTGGTATTTTGCTTTAGAGAGGATTTCTGGAATTAAGGAACCAGTGAGAATTTATCGTCAAATAGAAAAACAACCTCGTCGATGCCCTTCGAGCGTGTCAGTTCATTCAATAACGCCTAATGATGTGAAGATTAAAAATGTTACTTGGAGGGCTACTCGGGGTGTTTACATTTTAGGCTGGGAATCTGGTTGGTAGAGGCTCAATCCGTCTAGGTTCTCTTGAATCATGAAACAATGTGATGCCACGCGCATACCTCATGCGGGACGATTATGTCGGTAACGGAAGGTAATTTCGCGTAAGTTGAATATCTATTATTCAACACTCTGGTACATTGCGGCGCTGCCATCTGCCATCTGTCAGATTTTAGCGTAAAAGTGCTGAACATAGACATTGTTCATCTGAGTAGCAGACTGTGAATCTGCCTATTGTGTTGTCGTTTCTTGTCACATCTTATAGCATGGTAAAGTTAACAATCACGGTTGATTCTTTGAATGTGAGCCTCCTACCTTAATAAGAAAGGTATTATTCTCGGTGTCCAAGGGGTCGCAGAATTTAACGAGATTGTGGTGAAACGCCACGAAGTTCTATCAACAGTAGTTCGAGCAATACAGTAGTGAACAAGCACAGCAAACTGAGATGGCTTTCTTGGCAAGCGAAATTTTCCAGACTTGTTCACTATACCACTGTTTATCCCCGCTGCGAAACAGCAGCGACCAGCCTTTATTATTTTCCATTTGTTTTGACTACTCATGAGTAGAATGAATGGCGCCTGTGTATTGTACCCCCGTTTTGCCTGCTTGTTGCTCTTTCCCCA